CGTGTGTGTGTGTGTGTGTGTGTGTTATATTTATAACCTCTTTGGAGAGGAGAGAGTGGAGGAGGTCGTGACAGTCACAGTCCACGACACAAGACGTTAGAATCCAAGCCCTTGGTACAAGTTCATGTCATTGAATACCAGACATGTTTAGCTATGATGACTGTATTCGTGTTTGTCGCCAGAAAACCTTGTTGAAAACATGTGCACATTCTTCAGGTTACCATGGTTTTTACGGAACACAAATCAATTCAATCGTGCCATATTATTGCTCTATACTGGTACATTTTGTAACAAGTAGAGCAGGGAGATTTTTTGTGTGTTACCTACTATGTTGATAATTGGAGGCAGTCGAAACGAAAAGCTTAAATTTGTCGCAGCGTTATTTTCAACAGACTTCAATTGAAGACAAGTATCCTACGTTCTAATTACCATTTCTGGCCCCGAGGAAAATTGCATTTTTGAAATAGACAAATTGCAAAAAATTGCAAAGTATACTGCCTAAAAATTGCAGAAAATTGCAACCTTCCCATCCCAGGCGCGTTAATACAAGCTTAACATTTTTAGTTTAAAAAACATGACAATTTGAGTACCAGCAGCTTAAAAGCAGAACAGCCTTTTTAAAAAAATCATGACCCAGAGTACAAATTTTATTTACAACATTTACTAGTAACAACACATGAGTACGTTAACAATAAAGTTATCGACCAAATATAATATAATACCGCATGACCCAAAATAACGGAACAATCGGTTTTTGTAATAACTTTTAAATGAAGGCATAACATTTAACCAAATTTAGTAACCGGGTACTTGGTTCTTGCAAAGATCTAGAAGTGTAGTATGAGGTTTAGTTTATAATAAAGAAAAAAAAATTATGGGAGATTCGAACAAACAAAATTAGCTAATGCCCCAATCAATTCAGATCCTATTCTACTTTTCTCTTGATACTTTCGATAAAAAACCGGTAATCTGCATTTAGATATATTTCAGATATTTTATTTTTTTAAACCAGTATGGTATTGTTTTAACTCATAGTCAAATCGTAAAATACTGCAATTTTTTTTTCTCCGTTTAATAGTAATAATAATGTAGATCATTTCTATAGCGACCACTCCCGTGTGAACGCAGCTTATTGGCTTAAGGCGTTTTACATTAATTATTGAGCGTCTACGTACACAGTAACCGGCAACCGGGCACGTAGTCTCAGTGTCGTCACGTACGCAGTAACCGGGCAGTTCAGAACTCCAAGTTCAGTTTTTGTCATCCGGTGTTGCCTTCAACCCCAGCCACCTCCCGACTCCCGACTGTACCTTTTA